TGTGCATAGTTTATTTTGATTTTTAATAAAATGAATACATTTTTAAAATAAAAATATAATTAATAGTTTACCTTAGAAGTGCAACAATTTGTTGCTATTAAAATAACATTAATTGTTCTCGATATTAAATATATACAAGCTCACTTGTAGCCATTTCTGTACTGAATTAAATTTGTGCATTTATTTTTTTAGTTTTGTGACACCATCTTGAGCCATTCACAAGTACCTGAGGCATTTCTGCCTCCTCACCCTAATTGTCTGCTGCCACTTGCTGATTAATCATCAGCTCCACCTGCGGTTGACTCAACCACTCACCCTTTATAAGACAGCTGATGACATCTCCTCGACGCTGAAGCAACGTCTACTTTTGTAACCCTCCCGAGCTCTGCTGGATTCACCTCCCAAGGAAACARTCTGAAAGGATCAACCAAACCTGTAAACTTCAGCCTCTCTGCCTCCAACGCBTCTCCTTTGTAAATACTCCTCTGGACTCTTCACCTTGTCACTGAAAGTAAGGAGATCAATTTCTTATTACCATTCTTCATCCCCGTTGGAATCATTACCTGCAAACTCACCTGCTCCTCTCGCTCTTCTCAGGTCTGGATCCCCACTCCCTCTCCTTGTGCACCTGTAAAAATAAACACTGTTACTTGTTTTAAATTGATCTCCATGTGGTTTTGTTGCTGGTCTGCTCATCTGCCTCGATTCGTGATAGTTTGCTTCAGCCAAAAATCATGAGTCAGACCAGCAAGCCACAGATTCCTGCTACCAGTCAAACGCAGGATTCTGATAGACGAGTTATATAATTTATTTTTACATCTACAGCAAAATCAACAAAACACTGCTCAGTTGGTCGGAGGACTATCCCAAAGTATACATTTATTGGATAAGAAATTCGAAACTAATGCCTCACCTTCTCCTGTTCCATCCCCAGCTCCTTGTCCCACAGCACCATCTACCCGAGAACCGGATTTCCGACCCGCTGTGCTGTTCGAGGGAGACACCAGTCAGTGTGGAGGATTTTTACTCCAATGTAATTTGTCATTCTCTCGCTCCCCGTCATTATTTCCTTCTCATAGTTCTAAAATAATATTCATTGTCAATAACCTGAAGGGGCGAGCTTTACGC